CCCCCAATTTCAAGATTCCTCAGATATGCTACTCGCTATGTAGGCCTAATTCTGTTGTGATATTCATACTATAAAGCCTATGTATATTTACATATTACATTATATTCTTTCAGTGTAAAGACCATGGTGCCACCTTCTTTAAGCGTCGTGTGAACGGTAGCTTATTGGATCAGGTTGATACACTTCTGGTTGAGTATGACGTAGATTTCATTGTCAACTGCGCAGGTCTTGGTGCGCGCGAAACCGCAGACGATAAAGGTGTTTACCCACTAAGAGGTATGTTCTCACATGATCTTGCAAATAGGTATAATATTTTATGAATAGAGGAAGTATCTTAAAAAAAAATAAACAAAGAATGCCAACAAATTACAATTATTCCCACTTTCTTTAAAACACTTACCTACAGAATCTAGGCTGTCTCTTATACACATCTAGATGTGTATAAGAGACAGGAATCTAGGCTTACCAGAATGTTTCGTTTGTGGTTTCACACACAAAATGGTATAAAGATATCGCTATAATGTACTCAAGCACTTATTATTTCGTTGATCATGATTGACACTATTCAAAGCTAATAGAGGTCTCCCTCCAATGAAAGACCCCTCCAATTAAGGACCACCTCCAATTAAAGACCACCTCCAATTTAAGATCACTATTCTGTGGTCCCAAATTAACAAATTCCTTTTATCTTTTTATTGTGATGAGAGACCAAAGCTGCTAAAGACCACAGAAACCCTGTTCCCAAAAGTGGCCTTTAATTGGAGGAGACCTGTATAGCTTTTGAGTACTACTGCTTTAAATAATAATCATATAAAATGTGCCTAGGGTTGGGAGGAAGGTGTGCAGAAATAAACCCTTGCTTATTATCCTGATACATATTTAATACTACGGGTAAAAATATTAGTAATATAACAGGCAGTGTATATCATTACTACACAAAATCTCTCAATAGATTCACATTCAACAAACAATTTTAAGGAAAAATAATTATTGCGACCAAATTCCAACATTATTTATTTAAGATTTGCAAGTTGAGCTGTGATGATCGTGGGCCTCATTCTGTTTCCTGGTAGCGTTGCCTTGTCAGCTTATGAACAGATGCCTTGTAGTCGTCCGATCCTGTTACATCTCTTTGGTATCGACTGCCTTGACTACCAAGACCAGACCCCAATGCACGCCGAGAAACCTTATAATGAAAAATAAACATCAATAAAGTATACTGGCTGTCTCTTATACACATCTAGATGTGTATAAGAGACAGTATATATATATTCGGTCTTGTTAGATCTCATAAGTGCAGCTCAGGATTTTAAGAATGAAACACGACTGACTCAAACATGGAAGCCCTATTGATGGTTTTTAATTTTTTGTAGTTAAGTCTGAGTTTACTTTCGGTTTCGCCTACAATATCTTTATTACATTTAGTTCAAAATATTTAAGTCTAAGTTTACATTCGATTTCGCCTACATAATTGGTGTTTATTACATTTTATTTCAAATAGAGTGCTGCGCTTTTGTACGACGGTGACAACAAAATTCAAATTCGGCAAAACGGGTTTCGGCCAACTGGGATTTCATGTTTTCGGCAAACCGTGTTTTCGGCAAAGTCACAAGCCTTGTAGGCCAGGCGAAAATGATGGGCCATCAAAAGTTGGACTGCAATTATTTACACTCTATTTTCCGGTATTATTAGGCCAGAAAACTCGGAGACATTCTACTGTTAGAGTTGTTGCCTGTGTTTCATAAGGCTGTATGCTACCAACATTGGAGAGAGCAAATAGACGGTGTAGACCAGTTACCATTGAATGAGTAATCACGGTAGCTGGGGTTTTTACATTTCGTAATTATTACCATGGGGTCCATTCAATTAACATTTTTGGGCCATTTCCAAAATGTGCCTTGAGGCCAGACAATGCTTAACCCGGCACTGGGCAAAGTGGGTTAAATTCGGCCAACCGGGTTTCAACAAACTGCACTGGGCGAGTATTTGTACTGTATGCAAAATTATGCCTACACAGCTTAGTCAACTTTGTGTAGAAAATTCGATCAGATGAGTTTTTCACATTGAATCAAATTTGCAGGCAAAATAGCTTTTTACATTCAAGAGGGCGCTATATCTGAAAATCCCCAAGCAAAGCTTTATACATGGTGTTGAGCTGATATTATTTAATATTTGCATGTTTATTTTATTAATTTAAATCTATCGCCATTGATTTTACAGGCACATGAGCAACTCAATATTTTTGAAGGTCCTTAAATTTTGTAGTCTGAATTATTACAAGATTATAACCTGGCAAACAGTACTTCCCCAAGTTATTCTATAATATGATTTAATGTAGTTTTCATTAATTCTAAAACTTATTTTAATTGATAATTATGCTGTTACTCAATGAATCAAAATAAAGATGATTGTTAATATACAAAAAAATCAATTTATTTTTCAAATTTTTATAATTATAGTACAATTAAGAACGAAAGCATTACCAATATTTCAAGTTGTCCCCTTTCCTTTTTTTTTTTATTATTTAGTCCTGATTTTGTAAACAATAATGAAATATTTATATTCATTATTACTAATTTATTTCAACCTATAAACTAAGTCTCAAGATAAGGCTTTGCTGTTTTATATCATCAGAAGATAAATGATAATATAAAGATTTGGACCCAGAATCATGGATAAAAAAAAACAAGTTACTGCAGCTCCTCCGTAAATACCATAATGAAATAATTGAAGCCAGTTCCTTATAAATTGCTTCTAGTAAAGATAGTTGTTTCAGTTTTCCATACTTATCAAACCATCTTAGTTTTAAAACTCTACTATTTACGTGGAACAGTAATATAAATAACACCTAGAAATGTAGATATGGCCTTTAGAAAACAGCGATTCAAAAATAAGTCACATATTTTTCTTCACTAATGGTGTATACTTAAAAGCTTAAAACTGATGTTAGTGCAAGTGAAATATTATATAAAATCCAGAAGTCATTTACAGGACCACCTCTAATTAAAATCACTATTCTGTGGTCCCAAATTAACAAATTCCTTTTATCTTTTTATTGTGATGAGAGACCAAAGCTGCTAAAGACCACAGAAACCCTGTTCCCAAAAGTGGCCTTTAATTGGAGGAGACCTGTATAGCTTTTGAGTACTACTGCTTTAAATAATAATCATATAAAATGTGCCTAGGGTTGGGAGGAAGGTGTGCAGAAATAAACCCTTGCTTATTATCCTGATACATATTTAATACTACGGGTAAAAATATTAGTAATATAACAGGCAGTGTATATCATTACTACACAAAATCTCTCAATAGATTCACATTCAACAAACAATTTTAAGGAAAAATAATTATTGCGACCAAATTCCAACATTATTTATTTAAGATTTGCAAGTTGAGCTGTGATGATCGTGGGCCTCATTCTGTTTCCTGGTAGCGTTGCCTTGTCAGCTTATGAACAGATGCCTTGTAGTCGTCCGATCCTGTTACATCTCTTTGGTATCGACTGCCTTGACTACCAAGACCAGACCCCAATGCACGCCGAGAAACCTTATAATGAAAAATAAACATCAATAAAGTATACTGGATTATTACAGAGAACTCAAAATAGAGGCAATATAACTCTCTACATAAGTTATATTGAGAAATATTCTATTGTAGATACATTTTTGTGTCAGTTTTTTGGGCAGTAGACATTTTGAACTCAGTTTGTCAAACCAGAAGCGTAAAGTAGACCGTGAAGTTGAAATTGCGTAACTGTTTGGGAGAATTTGCTCTGCGTTGTCAAATGTAAGTTCTATGTTACAGGTAGGCCTACATGTTTCATTTCACTAAATTTTACAATTGTAGGCCTAGGTAGTAGAGCTACCGATTTTAATGTGTTAGTAATAAGTAGTATTAGTATTATTAATGTGTTTTGACATTCCATGTTGGGTCTGTCTTTTCTGTCGAGTTTCAGTTTACATTACTTCAGTATAGGTTAGCCTATGTTGGTATCTGTCATTGGCCCCACTGGTCAGTTGTACAGTACGTCGTCAACTCGTATCAGCCCTAGCTAGTGTAGCTAGGCTAGGTCGTCCAAAGAGACTAGTAGACAAGGGCTTAATAATTATATCTGGTGGCGCCAGGATTTGGCCGACGGGGGTCCGATGTCTCCGACAACAGCAAGGTGTGTGTGGTCAGGCATCGCCTACAATTTTTAATCTAATTTACAGATATATATTTTCTTACCTGTATTGGATCTTTGATGCCTTGTTTTTGCTTGCCTAGTCCGGTTCCCTCGTTCCATCCCATTTTCTGGAGCAGACGGTTACCAATGTTGTCGGATTTTATCCCACCTGCAGTAGGTTCCTCATAAGGTCTACAAACATGACCAAATATGCATCGATTGAAATACATTTGAATACAAAGCAAAGTTAATTAGTTAGCATATTACTACTGATGCTACTTACACTGGCATTGATGTTGAAGGTGCGCCTTTTCCTCGTCGAGGTTCAGGTGGTGGTATGGAACCAAATTTATCCCTACGTTCCTTGGCTCTATCTCGATACTTCAACTAAAATAAATAATCACAAAACAACTTCATTACAATCTACTGTTATAAACATCTTCAAAACAATAAATATCTTGTCAACAGAATGTTACATTTTTTTAAATATGTTTTTTGAGTAAATAACATGATGCAAATATAAAATTAATAATAGATATACATGTTTATGTAATTTACATTGACAATTTATTAAGAATTATCAGTCTTCAGTGCCTGAAGACTGATGAAACAAGGTTAAGTTAATATGACCTTTCAATAATCTTTAGCCCTGTATCTACTGCCTCGCAAGAGGGCGGTATTAAAAAAAATCATATGATCAGTTGCCATACCTCCCTCTGTGCATAATCCTCTCTTTCATTAGTGGTCATCAGTGAGTTTTTCTTGGCTTCTAAGTTCTGTTTGTGAAGATCAGAGATATTTTGATGCTTGATTAGAATATCCTTGGACTGGAACTGCCTCTTGCATAATAGACATATCAACTTATTCCAGTCAGTTAGGGACTCAACTAACTTCTCCATGTCAATTGACTCCCTAGGTGCTTGTGTTTCTTCTTCTGACTCACTGTCACTTCCTCCACCATAAGCTACAAGTACATTCTAAAAACAAAACAAAAATTAAAATATCAAAAATAATTATTTTAAAAAGTTCATTAAATCTTTACAAAAGTGTAATATTTGATTAATTCAAATTTATGTACATCAAAGTACAAATCTCCCTATAAATTAAAGATCACTTTTGTGACTGGCGTTATTCATGGTCTTTAGCAGCTTTGGTCTCTAATTATAATAATAAAGATAAAAGAAATTTTTAATATGAGACAACAGAAAAGCGGTCCTTAATTGGAGGTGGTCCTTAATTGGAGGTGGTCGTTAATTGGAGGTGGTCCTTAATTGGAGGTGGTCCTTAATTAGAGGGAGACCAGTATTCAATATTGATGTAGATGAATCTTTTATACCATTTTCAACTATCTAGTGGCGTAACTATTATGCATTCTCAGTGGCAAAAGCCAGGGGCCTTCGGGCCTTAAAGGGCACTGGAATATTTATCAGCATTTATGCCCCATCCATCCATTAGCAGGGACTTTTGTAAGGACCACTAGTATGTAAAAATACCATGAAAATACTTCTTTAAAATTTCAAGTATGCCAAAGCTGGTGGGGCTTTTCCTCAAGGAGGTAGGGTCCGATGAAGCCTTAGCCAGGAGCCTTAGACCTTTTTGTCGCACTCCAGCGCTGTAACAAACAGGGCCTCGGCCCTTTCTGTTACACCACTGAAGTAAAAACGATGCCCATAAACACAGTCTTGTACAAATAGCAGACACAGGGTTATAAAGTTTATTCTATTACTTTATGTCGACTGAACACAAAACAAATTTTGAATTCAAGTTTTTTAAAAGCTTACATTTTGGACAGCGTTCTTGCTTATAGCCTCTGCCACTGCTGCCTTCGTCTCCAATGGATTACCCTAGAGTAAAGAGCAAAGTCCATTGATGTAAGGAGTGGACACATTGATTAGGAAACAGTATCACATTTTTTTTAATGTAATCATGAACATATTTGGGCATGTCAAATGCGTTTGTTAAATAAAATGCGATATTCTGGACAGCAGCGATGACAGATAAATAAAGGATTGACAAAAAAAACTTTATGCCTACATATAAACACTGTGCCTATATATTGTCATGATGTGATGCCAAAATATTAATTTTATTCTTTTTTACGTGTTATATATATCATTTCTGTGTAAAGTGCATAGGGGCAATGTGCAATATGCGCTATATAAATATACCATTGTTATTATTATTATTATGACCATATTTAGGCATATCACATGTTTTTGTCAAATAAAATGTGAGTCTGGATAAATTATGAATCAAAAACCATGAATGATTACCTTCTTCTGTAGCATAGCAAAGCCTGCATCAGCCGCACCTGCGCCGTTATCGATGCTGAAACTTATCGACTTCTTGGAAGCAGAGGGCGCTGTTTTGGCATTGTTCATACTCTTAGCCCATCGCTCCATGTCTTTTGCAATCTATAAAAGGGCAAAAAGAGCAATAAAAATAAAATAATATAAATAATTCAAAAATAATTTTCATAATAATTTTTATGTAGTTAAATCTTATTACATTTTGATCGTGGATATGGATATCATGGTAGTGAGGATATGGTTTGGTGGTTATGATGATAGCCTTCAAAAATCAGTGTCCTTGGTTCAAATCTTGAGACTTGTTTATAGAGCAATAAGAACCAGTCATGTACAAGTTGGCAAAATAATAATAATTAAGGAAAACTACACACCTTCCTAGCTTGAGCGGTTTTATCAGTTTTCCTCTTATCCTTTTCCTTCTCTTTTTCCTCTGGGATTTTTTGTTCAGACTGTTTTTCTTCTGGTTTGCTTGTCTCTGTTGGTACCAGTATGTATGCTTGCTTTTCTGAATCCCAATACATGTACTGTTGGGTAGTGGCATTATAGAAGTACTAAGAAAGAGAAAAATCATATATTTATCAATTGATCAACATTTCTTGATGGCAAAATACGTAAATCCTTGCTGAGCCAACCGGGCTCATAGGGATGGATCTTATCCTCAGTTTTAAGTAGCGTGAAGCGGATGAGGGTGTGATGCTCCCACCGGGTGGGACACTGGTCCACCGGAGGTTACTCCCAGCAATTTGCTGGTACCCAGTGATGCAAGTGGGTAGGCTGAAGCAATGCAGATAAAGTGCCTTGCTCAAGTAAACGAGCAAATGCTCATAAAGGACTGAAACCCAGCCACTGCATCAAACAACTTCCACATATTTCTTGATGTAGCAAAAATCAATTTAGTATTTCGTTTGTCGGGAGGCAATCACAGCCCATGACTTTTGGTGTTACTTTCTTTTTTCTTTTAAAGTGAATATAATCTGTGAGTGTCCTTGGAAAAATATCTGTGATTCTCCCATTTATGCCTATAAGGATGTCATATCAAACCCATATATGGACAAATCACTTAAAAGTTGACTCTGTGTGCAGAACTTTAAAATAATAATAGGTTGATTTATTTATTTATACGTACAAAATTACACCATGTAACATGAATATACTCGCAGTGAAAAAACAGTCTGTAGAATATTTACCTGTGAATTTGCATCATAATAAAGCCCACTACTAGAGTCATAATAAAACCCTGATGTTTCATCATACACATAAGTTGAAAGGTCAGGCTCCAAACTTCCTGTTTTCGTTTCTTGTGCATCTGTTTCCTAGAAATATGCAACAAACATTTTGTTTAATCATCTGCCCGGTAAAATTATAGCCTCCCCATGGTATGATTTTTCTATGAGAACTGACCAAACTTTAGTTGTTGCGGTAACAATTATTCAACAGAAAATTAACAATGATAACAACATGAAGAAATATTACAATTTCAACTAAATTAGAAATTTTTATGGCAATTATGATGATGCTTAGCATATTATTTCCTCATTAGTGCAAAGTTAAACCAATCGGACTTACCAAACTTTAGTTATCATGATAACTAGCCTAAATTACTTGATTAGTGAAATATTAATTATGCAAATGAGCAACTAGCATATTCACACACATACCAAAAACAATAGGCTTTGTCTTCTTATTACCATTTTGCATTCTGCCAAGTTTAAAAGCAATCGGACTTATCATGGTAACAAACAATTTACCCAACAACAAAGGTGACGACAACAACATGAATAAAATAGGTAAAAACAATAGCCTCCGCAAACCTTCGCTACTTTGTGGAGGCTAATAGTTATTTTTTAATTGATTGATTATATAACTAAATGTACCTGCTGTTTTGATTTGCTAGCCTTGTCTTGTTTTCTATCGGTTCTGGTGTCTGTTGACGACTTTTCTTTCTCTACTTGGCCGCTACCTTCTTGCATTTGACTCACAAGTTGTTGAGACACATGTTGTTGCTGAAATAATATATGAAATAATGAATAAAATATAAAAAATATAAAAAATAAATAACAAATCAATGAATAATTAACACATTCTAACCTAAACATTGCAAGTGCAAGTAAATAACTAATAAATAATTTGTAACAATTGTTATATAAATGGTATCTGATATTTGAATAGGAATATCTTGAAAAAAGCACATGCTGGGCATGTATTGGGAGTTAGTAGTTAGCAGGGGGCATGAAGTCTCCAGTGAGTTGGGGAGACGTTCAGAAATTCAGACGACCTCACTCCCACAAGAAAGCAGCTATCTATCAGAAAATAACCCTTCCCACACAAATTCATACTTATATTAACATGTGTTTACTCTTCTATAACCACTTGTCTTTCAAATATTTAGGAAAGCAGCTAGTGATGGGTTTCACCAAATGCAGCAAAATAAAGTGGCATAATCACCTCCCCACTTCCCCGCACACAAACAACTCCCCCCCCCCCTTTAATATTGAAAGAATTTCAGAGACATTAATGTTGGATACTGTACCTGTAACTGAAGTTGCCTTGCTGCTTGGATCTGTTCCAGTGCAACTGCTGCTTTCTCTGAAATTGAATAAAAATTATAAATTTGAGTCAAAATCTTCATTCAAATCAAATTTATTAGATCATAATCATCAAATCAAAATTGTAGTTGTAATCAGATCAAAATCATCACATCCAAATTGTAATTAAAAATCATTAGATCACAAATATCAGATCACTGTGTGATTTAAAATCAGATTATTGTCGGATTCTGATTTTATGTCAAAATCATGAAATGAAATCATTAAATCACTGTGTGATTTAAAATCAGATTATTGCTGGATTTAAATTTTAGGACAAAATCATGAAATGAAATCATTTAATTAGAATCCTGACTTCTACAATAACAGTCTAATTTCAACTTCATATGCATATAGGTTGAAATAAACTATAAACTTACCTCCTGCACTCATTGAGTTTTTCCTAGGCCCCCGACGCTGCCTACGTTGACTTCGTGGACTCAGTGCATCTTGCTGTGGGGAGGTTTCTGATGCCTGACCAGCTGAGCTTGACTGGCTGCTTGATGACTGAAATTTAAAGAGACTGTTTATTTAGCCAGTAGTATTTGTCTACACACAGCATGTTTGTAATGATTAGTGAGGGCACACTCCAATGCTAATCATAAGGACAGGCTAATTCGTGTTTTAGTCGGTTAAATAAAACACACTGTTAAGAAAACAAACTTTGTGATACTTCTATCCACGCAGAATAAATAATACATTACATACAGTAAAATTTAATGTTCTTTTATTTATAAGATTTCAATGTATATTTAATGTTTTTCCTTTTAGTTATTAATTGTATAGGCTTTTAGCAATTTTGCATCACAATTCAGTTACTATACTGCTATGACCAATCTTATACCAATTTGTAAATGTTTTTTACTGTTTTGAAATAAAAGATCAGAAATATATAAAATGTCCATTTTATATACCACTTTGTAAGAATGGTATCCGAAATCGAAAAATTTATAAACTAGATCAGGGGTGAACTTCCACTAGTTAGCTTTCATTATATAGGAAATGGAGCTTTTAATGAATAAATACAACAAATTCATTAAAAAAAAAAAGTATAATTACAGTAGAAACCCTCATTTACGAACCCCGATTTAACGAATTCTAGATCTTACGAACGTAAAATAAAGGTGATGACGTCATACAAATTTAAGTGAAAGATTAAAAGAAAAAATCCGCTCGAATTGTGTGTTATTAGAATGCATACAACACAACACACCATACTATGCAGTACTGTACTATGTAATTCTCAAGTGAAGGAGACCCTCTAACGGGCCTCTTCAAAGTCAGTGTTTTTTATGGCTTCACACATGTGCATGCGACAACTTTTACTTCTCTTTCAAACATCATTTGAAAAAGTCAACATAGTGCTTGATTGTTTTATTGAATGATCAATATATATAATAAACAAGTATCTATGGAAGTTGTGTTGGAGTAAAATCCACAATCTAGGTATTTAAGAAGGTAAAAATGTTCGATAAAAACAAATTTGTGTAGGGCCTAGAGTGGGATCAGAATGATCTGCCTACTGCCTACTGTAGGCCTAGGCCCCCTCAGACTTAGCTGCGTAGGCCTGTAGGCCTAGTTTATGCCAGTCTAAGTAGTACCAGTGCAAATATATAGGAATTTGGGTAAACCCCCTGATTTTACAAATACCCGCATTTACGAACGGCTCTGGGCCCGTGCCGTACGTAAATGAGGGGTTCTACTGTACTTCGAAAAGAGGCTATTATAAAATTTGGATGTTCTAAAAAAAAAAAAAAAAAAACCAGTATAATACTTACGGTACTGCCCTGGGCTCTCTCTAAGTAATCCTCTTTTCCATAACATACAGAAACTATAATAAGAAAGTAAAAATAATGAACTTTGACCTTGTCATGTAGTCATGTAGTAAGGAAACAGAGTACAACCTGTAAATTCACAAGAAATCGTCCTCACAAAAACAAAAGAACCTCAAATGAATGACCAAATGGCTTGACTGCCAAGTTATTCAGACTTTTTTTGTTTGGAGTAAAAACCAGGCATACAGTATCAGATAATTGTTTGGAATAAAAAATGTTTAGTCAGATTTTATTGCCAGACAAAGGTGGATTTCTGAAGTCCTGTCTCAACTATCAAGTTTATTTGACAAAAACATGCGAGATGCCTAAACATCCAAAAGGTCCACTGATTAATCTCAGGTAAGATAGTATAATACATACTCCAAGTATCGAAATGCACGCCATCGTGTCTGGATTCAATATTTCAACATTAATTATGTCATCATCAGGAATGATAAATATGGTCATGATGACATAACATGACCAAAGGTGGGCGGAGACAATAAATAGTTTTGACAGCTGCATACCTGGGTGTTCTTCAACTGCAAATGGCGGATCCATCGCTTGCAGGGTGTTGTAGAGGTGTTGACTGTGCTCTAAGGACACAAGCTCTACGTAGCAGTAGCCTCGCGAGTTGCCCTGCGTGTCCCTTGATATTAGCACGTTAGTGAGATTAACTGCTGAGATGTAGTTAATTGCTGTGCACACTTTGTCCTCCATTGTTGTTGGGCCGAGACCATTCAAAATAATTACTGGAATGTGGTAATTCCATAAAAACATTAAATAAAAAAAATATAGAGCGACTTAGCTCAAATGCTTACTTAGTCGTAAAAGTCGGAGTGTTTGAATCTCCTGAAAATTCTCCATCAGCAAATAGCTGCTGTGGGCTGTGGCTTTACTACAGCAATTTATTCTTCTTGTAAAAAGCTGGGACACCGGTGCATTTATAGCCGGATGAGTATGGAGCTAAACTTACCTCTAGTAGGCACGGCACTGACTTCGCTGAATTGCTCCGATTCTGAAATGACAATGACAGTTAACGTTTATCAACCTAATCTCACCTACTATTGAGTTACTTGTCACCTAAACAAACCTGGTAGTGCTCTAGAAGACAAGAAGAATCTTATTGTTCCTTAATCCAAGTTTGCTAAAAAGCAGCGAACTCAACAACACAAAATAAATTAGAGCGGTCACCCAATAGAGTACATACTTCTGCATATTGTTCGGTATTCAGGCACAGGGCAGAGGTATGCACACAGGGCAGAGGTATGCAAACAGGGCAGAGGTATGCACTCAGGGCAGAGGTATGCACACAGGGCAGAGGTATGCACTCAGGTCAGAGGTATGCACTCACCCTGCCCTGTGTCTGAATAACAAAAACAATATGCAGGCTGGTTTTAGGCAATTCCATTATTTTTTTTTTATGTTCGAGGGCAAGTTCAGAATTTAGGGTAAGAAAAAAAACATTTGACATTTTTTTCTTGAAATCAAAACACCTATTTTTAAGATTATTATATACCATTCCACTAAATTTTGAATATACATTTATTAGTTTTTGAGTAATATTGCTAACAATTGACAGTGGTGCATTATATAACCTCCTTAGCAAAGGTAATTATCAACCATTATGTGGAAGCTACTTATTAAAATTATTGCACTTATGCATAACATAACACAGCAAACAGCAATACCACTGTTTCTGGGGTATTTAGACAAAATTAGATTAGAACTTGATATCTCTCGAAGAAAATAATTATAATAAAATATGAAGTATTCCTTACCAATCTTGGAGATGCTACAGTGAAAACAATGATCTCTTCGTTTGAAGTTCTGTGTTCCGCACTAAAGAACAAAACAAGAAAGAACAGAATATATGTAATTTTAACAATGCCAAAACACAACACAAACATTAAAGTGGCAGCGAAAAAACCAAACACATACAAAGGGAAGATACGAGAAGCATTTGAGAAATGTGAGCCCCCCCCCACCACAAAAATTGCAGATATGCCCTATTTCAGATCTGTAATAGCCTCTTGTCACAAGATTGTATTCTAACACACCAAAGGTCACAAGTTCATGTGTTCGCCTAAATTAACCAACATCCTTATAACAAAATTATTATCATCATCATTATATATGTTTTTGAAATTTACCTGTGAACAATACCAATCATCTTCCCGCTCTTTACTCGCTCCGTAGGCCATGTGCGCTAGATAACCAGCAATTGTGACATGCCCCTGAAAAATACAAGCACAACCAACACGAGTTAGTATGCATTCCAAATTATCACAGTCCCTAGACCTCGGCCGAACAGGTAGATGGTGGAACAACCACCTAAAAGTACCCCTTTTTTGGGGTTGAGGTTAATTTCTCTGCTTACCTCAAGTATGCTTCAAAGGTGATGATTTTAGACAGTGGGTTTTCCTCCCATTCGCCAATATTTTAATATATTTCACTTTCTCAACAAGAAATTGGTATAAGCATTTTCACATTAAAAATAGTATTTCCATACTTGACAATTTTTTATATAATTACCTACATAAAAATTAAAGTAGATATCTAGCGTTGGATTTTGTCAGCCGCCCCCGTCCCATGATTCATAGTAATATCACTCTTTAATCCCATCTCTTTCATTCAATCCGCAATATTATCATTACCTTTCTCATTCACTTATCTTTACTCACTGGTTGTTTTTTACTTTTGAACAAACATTATTTTTTTTTTACTTCTTTTTACATTCAACAGTAAAAACTCACAATCAAAAGATGTGAAATTCTCTATAAAAAATAAGTATCTTGTTTTTAGTCGTGAGAAAAAACCCCGGTGTTTCACGGGATTCGAACCCAGGACTATTAAGTTAAACATCAACCATCTTCTCCAAAAATGTCACAGCTCACACCAACCAATTTATTCTATCCCAACAATATCTTCTAACACACGCTCTTCACGACGTATAAAAACGTCAAAATGAATCTAATTCGAAAACCGAATATAAGGACATAGGGAGTGCGTCTAAGTGAACTTTTGCCCATATCTGATCGTAGGCCATGTAAAATACACTAGGAAACCTGATTTTCTTCCATCCATCTGTTTGAGTCATCGACTTGGTAAAACTCCACGAAGGCAAATCCGCGGGAGGCACCTAAAAAGTGATGAGTATTCAGACAGGGGTGCATTAGTATACTGACTGCATGTGGCACCAATGGATGGACAGAGAGAAACAAAAATAAAAAAGAAATCGGGCTTACGTGCACCAGTCACATTCAACTTTAAACCTCTTGCCCAAAATTATCTATTGCTTTCTGTTTCTTATTATACCCAAGAAATATTTTAAATATTATATTTTCAATATGTGAGCTATAAATAAATGAACAATAATTTGATTTTATTTTCTTATAACATTTTTTTTACATTCTTAAAAAATCCAAAATGTTTCAAATTTTGAGGTCATTATTCTTGAGTACAGCAATGGGTAAAAATGGTTGAACAACCTGGAAACCATTCTTAAAAAGTAGATTTAACAAATAAATTGTCATGGTAGATCATTCATGGTAAAAATTAAACTAGAATCATAATAACATTATTATTATTATTTAAACATGCATTTATAAACTACTTACCTTAGTAAAAGAAGTATTGGAATAACATTTACATGACATGTTCCCACAAAATACGGACAAAGTGTAAGAATCACTTTAAGTAAAAAAATCTGTTTTAAGGATTCCATATAGATTTTAAAAAAATTTGAATAACATTTTGTTTATAACACCCAAATATTCGAAGAAATTCACTTGAAAAAACACAATTTTGTTTTGGCCTCTACAATTTCAGTAGCCTTGAGTAGTTATTTGCAACTATGTGTGTGCTTGTACTTCCAAAAGCTGAAAGATTAACTATCAATTTCTTCTTATAAAAATAAACGAACCCAATAAATATTTCCCCAACCCCTATGAAGGGAAGACCTTTGGAAACCGAAAAAAGCGTTTCCCTAATATGAGTGTCTAAAAATAGAGGTTGTACTGTATTTCACTTAGACTTGGGTATTGTCCTTTCCTTTGCCAACAGAATTACTAAAGATGATCAATATACAGCTAACGAAATATATTACTACTTAAAAACTTATGCTTTTACAGGTCTGTCCGTGTTTTATGGAAGCACATCACATATTATATTAATATCAACAACGACAGCATTACTGTACTCAAGAAAAATTTCATTTTATGGTAAAACACTGCCTTTCCTTATATTAACTTTGAGGGTTTGTTGAGACTGGTGCACGGAATAGGATATATCACAAGATATTTTTAAATTCACAGAGGGCGTTCTCATCATTTTTTCCCTCAAAAGATTAATATTAACGTACCTGTTTCTTTGTTACGAACTAATCTTACATCGAGGACGGGACGGCCAAACTGCTGTACAACTGCTTGAATCTGCAAGAAAACAGAAGAAAAATAATAAATAATAAAATATATATTATTTCCATCCAACTTCAGCCAATACAATTGCCTCTAATTTTCATAATGTAAATTAGCAAAAACTGAATGGTTTTGACCAATCTGATGGAATCTCTACAGTACTTTTTATCAAAAAGATAGAATCTCTAATTTTGACCAATCAGATTGAATCTCTCATTTTGACCAATTTCAGAAAAAAAAATAGTTACAACAACACTATGAATAAAATATAAAATGCAATACAAAGACAATGCAACATACATCTCTTTCATCGATGCTAGGATGAAGCGATTTTAACATGATTGTATTGGTGGGCTTCACATTCATCATACTGCTTTTCCAATCCCTCTGACGGTCGCTGTCACGGCGGTCGCTGTCCCGACGCTCATCATCTCGTCTGCGGTCACGATCCTTGAAAATGGGTTAAAAAAAATTAGTAAACATTCTTTTAACAATTAATTTTTCTTTATTCTATTTGAAATCTCATTGAATTTTAAATAGTAAAAGAAATTTGTAAAATATTAATCAATCGCTTACATCTCTTCTTCGTCTTTCACGTCTACTTGGTGAATCTCTGTCATCTCTCCGTCTGTCTCTTCTGGATGGACTTCGACTTCTTTCTTTACTTCGTTCTTTATCTCGATCTTCTCTAGATGAACTCCTATCTCGATCTTCTCGTCGTGATGGACTTCGTCCACGATCATCACGTCTAGATGGACTCCTGTCTCTATCATCTCTTCTCGACCTTGACCTCCTCCGATCTCTGCCTGGGCTCCTCCTTCGGTGACTTTCTCCATCACGACTTCTTCTATTATCAAAATCATCTTGAGAACTATCTTCACGATTCTGATTATTTCTATCTTGTTCTTTGTTGTCCTGGTTCTTATTTTTCCAATTTGATTCCCCTGCCATTTGGTTTTTATTGTTCGAGAAATCAAATTGTTCCGATTGATTCTGATTCCGATGGTGATCACGATTAAATGCATCATTACCAAAGTTTCCTTGCATGTTATTGTTACCTTGGTTACCAATGTGATGTTGATCTGTTACAGGAAAATTTGGATTATTCCAGCCAGGTTGTTCATTTCCAAAATTTGGATTGTTCGGGAAATTATTTTGGTTGTTTTGTGGATGGTTTTGCCAATTCCAGGCATTTCCACCAGGTTGGGGGATGCCACTGCCGTGCTGGGGGATACCGATGCCATGCTGAGGGATGCCAACGCCATGCTGTGGAATACCACCAACATGTTGGAGAATGCCTCCACCATGCTGTGGCATCATGCCACCGTGTGGAAGGCCACCACCAAACTGAAGGCCACCGCCTCCACCGAGCTGCAGACCACCATTCCCAAGCTGATGCATACCACCATGTTGAATACCAGGATGTTGAGGACCTCCTCCACCATGTTGTAGACCGAAACCACCGACCGGAAGAACACCAGGAGGTAAAGCTTGATTTCCTTGAAAGAAGTTCATCCTATTATCATTTGGCATGTTATTCCACTGCTGCTGGAACCCTCTCTGGTTATTGAAATTGTTCCTGCAAAAAGATATAAATAATTTGATTAACTTTTTTATTCAAATATTACAATACAAAAGTAGGGGCCTAGCCTCCCCTACCTAGGGCCTATATACAGTATGCTAGTCTAGACAATTGATTACAAAATTATAAACCTTAATTTCCTGATTTTCTGGATGTTAAATACTGTCTGTAGGGCCTACATCGAGGCCGAATTGGTTCCCAGACGAAGCGGATGGAATTTATCCTAATCCCCTAGGCCTAGAGTCGTAATTATCTACCATACCGCGCCTGGCCTAGCCTACGTACCTAGGCCTACTACTACTACTACTACTACGGGATTCACTACTACTTTACTACTACTGCCTAGGCGTAGGCTACCCAGCGGCATATTTCAATTGAATATTTCAATCACGATTAACAAAGGCATAGCCTTTATAAATAGACTAACAAAATAAAACAAGAATTTACTCGTCCATTATTCCTTGTCTATTCCCACTAAACATTCTTTCTTGTGCTAAGAAATTGTTTATTTTCGATTCCATAATTCACCCCGCATTTCTTCTACTTTTCCTGCTGCTATTTCTCGCGCTACCCAAAGGGCGAAACACGTCACAGAAACAAAATGGCAACCACCCCCAACCGCTTGAATCTTATTACGACTACGTAAAATTGGCAGAATTAAATTATTTTGTCGAATCTAAACATATTCATTGAATATATTCTTTGCACAGTCTTGTACTCATAGAATGAACAAATTATTTGAATATAAAAGTTTGTATTAAGTAAAGCATATGTAGTATATATGTAAGTTTCTTAGCCATTTACCTATCTAATCGTACAACAATACGTTCTGGCAATATAAGAGAGGGCGGTGTGAAACCAAAACAAGAAAAAAAGCTTGAGCCAGGCTGCGATTTTTTTTTCCGTACGAAACATTTACATGAAACTCCACTCGGGCCGTCTCGGCTGAATCGACCCGAAAATCTCATTGCAGAATTCAGGAGGTCAAAAGGTCATCAACAAACGTCTACAGAACAGCCAGGCTAGCCTATGTGTTTAGCTTAGCGTAATTATGGATCTCCTAAAAGCCGAGATAGCCAGAAAGAGGAAACAATTAGAAAACACAAATGTACTTGTAAGTAAATAGTGTAAAATATTTAATAATATATATCATAATATTTTTTTTTATAAACTCTTGGCCCTTGGCCTTAGATATATGCTGTCTAGGCTGAAAGGTCCCTGCCTGGGCCTAGCCCTAGCCTAGGGCCAGGCGCCTAGAGGCCTAGCTAGTAGTAGTAGGCGCGCCTGCCTGCCTGCCTAGCTAGCCTAAGCCGGGACATGCCTAGGCCTAGTAGTACTCGTCGTGCAGTTTTGAGACGTTTGGAAATAAGTTGGATTTTATTGTTTTTATATCTTCAGCTGATTTGATATGATATTAACAATTTGTATTTGGTGCTCTTACTTACTACTAATATATTTAAGATGCTATTCAGTATTCTAAATAATAAATATTAGTAATATTTAGAATACTGAATAGCATCTTAAATTTATTGTGTGATAGGCTTAGCTAGGCCTAGGCTATCTGTAAAGTGACTTTATTTTCAAGAGGGGCTTTTAAGCACTAAGTGTTTTGCCTCGGTCTCAAAGTTTTAGCTACTTATGAGAAACAAGTAAATTTAAATTCCAGTTTTAAATAACTTCCTCCCATACTTTTTGTTGAAGGATAAAGAAAAAAAATTCTTCAAGCGCGGTGACTTAATGGCAAAACAAGAAGAAGAATATTGGAAAAGAAATAAGGTAATATCAGTATTTATCAATTATCATATTTTTTTAAAAAGTAACTACATGAACAAAACAACCCTAAAAAATAAATAGTATATTATATTTTGTACTTGTAATCCATAGAAATTATACTCTAAATTATATTTGATGAAGTGTTATCAAAATAAAATACATAAATACTAACATGAACCATATTCTCAAATAAGTGCATTCTTCAAATTATATAATTTATACTGATACAAGGACTCAAATGCAGACGGTGTGATGACACCGTAATTGTAATAATTATATTGTTGATACATTACTTTTTTCATCATGAATGTAGTTATTTTATAAAGTATGAGAGTGTGGGAGTGTAATTTCTGGGTACCTTGATTTCCATATTCTCAAAATGTTCTCACCTTAGCCCAAACCATGGTGGTGGTGTGAACTCTCACGCACCCCCTACCGCCCAAATCCTGCATCTGCCCCAGCATTGAACTGATCTATAATATTTCTTCCTATATTTTAGAAAGAAAAAGTTGAAGAAGTTGAGGATGAAGCCACAACAAGCAAAGTAGAAGATGAAGATCCAAATGTTATAAATCTTTCTAGGAATGAGGTATTTTTTTTTTCATTTTGATGAAGAAATAATAAATTAAAATTTAACAAATTTTGTTCTCATTGAACATGTAAAGGTTTACTGTATATATGGTCTCCACCTAATTAAAGATAATTTTTCTTTGATCCTAAATTAACAAATGTCTTGTATGTATTCTAATCAGACACCAACCAGCTGAGACCAGAAGTGGTCTTTAATTGTAGGAAGGCCTGTATTTGAAAGAATCAACATAGCATTGAAATTGTGATTTATAGAGATTATGTTTATCTCATATTTTGCATACCGTAGGTTGTCCGTCGATTGCGGGAGCGAGACGAGCCTATTCGTCTGTTTGGCGAATCTGATAATGATTCGTTTCACAGATTAAGGAGAATAGAGATTTTACAACCAGAAGTGAACAAGGTAGGAACATAGATATAGATGATTGTTTAGACTGACAAGCAAACAATTGATAATTATATAGTGATAGTATGATAATTAAAGTGAAGATGACTAAAGGTGGTAGTTGTGGTAGAGGTATGCTATGGAATAGATGGTACAAGGTAACATTGTAACTAAATCTGGGTATTCACTCTCAGATTGTTGTCTGACACACTTGCAAACATTGTTTGGTCAAACAGTATCAAGTGAACCAAATTGTATGGTGATTGGAAGTGTTCGATCTACTTCTTGTCTAATCAAACATTGTATGGTGTGTCTGACAGATAAAAAAATATGGTGTTTACCTGGCTTTAGGCAGTCCGCTATGATTTGGCTCAAACGGGTTGCAGTAAAAGAGTACATTCATTTAATGTGAACCTGTGGCCGATACAGACCATATAAAATATGTAGGGAACAACCAACCCAAACACTCCCATTTGTTTATAGGTCCAATATCCAGCACTTGCAGCCCCCCTCCCCCCCCACCTTTTCCCCAGCAGAAACAATTTGGATCCACTACTGTGCCTTGTCTGTGCAGATGATAATAATAAGAATAATATAGATTAAGTTATACTATTATACATAGTTATAGTGGTATTAAAGGTCACATACTCATTGGCATTGTTTACTTTGCGGTTTTCTGTAGGGCTTCCGTAATGATTTCAAAGAAGCACTGGACCAGCTTGATCAGCAGTACCTGGATGAGTTGGTGCAGGCCCAAGGCGACAATGTACAAAACAAAGCAGGAGATATCAAGGTAAGGAAACATTGATGGAATGTTAATTATATTGATGAGTTTTTAACAGCAGGGGTCCCAAGTTGAAAGAATCCACATCTGGGTGAGCTGGTTAAATGAACTCTCTTAAAACATCTGACTATATTTTGTTGTGCTCGGTGATACCGATTGTCACTGACTTCCAGGAGACAATTGATAATACAGTATTAAATACTGGTAAAAGATATGCAAATATCATGAATCTGCGGGAGGCAGGTTATTTTCCAGGAGATTTTGTTTGCTAGAGTGTGCACCTTACCAGATTAACCAACAAATAGAATGGAAGCAACTTCTTGTCACCAAAGTTATAAGAATCGGACATCATAGTCATATAATATACCGTAATGCGTGTATCTACATTTTATGTGCTCTAGGGATGTGTTTATACTAGAGAAACTATGGTTTATGTAATAAGCCTGTGGTTACAAATTTGATTGATGCATTTGTTCTTTTTGCAATCAGGTTGATGATGATGGAACAACGTTGGAGGACATCATGAAGTTGGCGGAAGGCATGGGAAAGAATGATAAGGATTTAGACCATGAAGTCATCCTCAAATATATCAAGGTATCAACAATGATTATAAATGCTAATAATGTTCATGATAATATAACAACGTGATTAGAAATATATTTCATCTAGGCCTAGCCTCTATGCACGTCATGTTACACCAACCAGTGGTTCAAACACCTTCAAAATATACTTAGCTAGAAGAGTATTTAACATAGTTGCAGCTAGTTTTATTTACATTCAAACCTAGTAGATGCCCATTTGTACTCCTGTATATTGGGAGTCTACATAGGTAAAGTATAAAAACTTATCGAGCCTAGGACTTAAACCGTTGATTTGGCTTTGTCAGAACTATCAAATTTTCTTTGACAAAACTGTTGTATGCCCATAGAGTACCACAGTCGTGTCGTCACGATGCCAGTTGGCGTAATCTGTTGTCAACAGACGTTGGTTACCGCTCAATACGCCTGAATGACTTCATAGGCTTTCTGGAATAGGCATTTTAAAATCTAATATTTTACCACCAAAATGTACTAAAAACACAAAACTCGCATTATATTAGTTATCGAACACACATTTAATCTTCAATTAAAATTTACAAAGAAAAAGTAAGATACATCTTAATAATTACGTTAGAAATTGAGATCAGTGGTTTGTCAGTGAAGAAAATGGTGTCCAGTTGAATTCTTTTTGCAACGATAGCAGCGGAGTAGTATCGCATGGTATCGTGACGTAACACTGTAGTACTCTATATATAGTATAATACTTGGAAGAATTTCATCTAGCCTTTAGTTGATTTAGTATAATGTCATTTCTTTAATAAATAAACATGATGTGCCTATATATGGGCATTCATGATGTGATGTCATCATGACCATATTTGTTATAATAATAATAAAATTAGATAGTGTGGATGGGACTTAAGTGCCAAGCCACCTGTTTCCTTATTAAAGGAGATTATTGCAATGAAACTAATATTGAACATAATTGAAATAAATTCTAGTGATTTACTGATTGTTATTTTTTTCCAACACTTTATATTATTCTTATATAATCAAAGGATCATCTTCTAGATATGATGGCATAACAAGGACCATTTCTGCCTTGTTTTTTTACTAATACACCAGAGAGGCACTTAAATTACATGCATCTATTCTTTGTCTTGTCTTTAGTTTTTATTAAAGGTGTGGGCAGAGGTATTAAATCAGCGGTCGTCGCAAGAGAAAAGAAGTACAAAGGGCAAGTTACTAAGCGCGACACATTCACAGACCAAGGCGTACCTAAAGCCACTATTAAGAAAACTTAAAAAAAGGGTGAGTATTACAATATTTTATAAGCATCAAATGTATGTTTGTAATGTACAAGGTACTGTCATTCTTGTACAATGTAATACAGGCTCTGCAGTTTTCTGGAAGAATGCACAAGACTTTAGTTTTCAGTGATCAGTGGAACTCACACCCCACCCTAGTTATGAATATTCCACATTTTTATCTAATTTTCCATTTATTTAATACATTACAGAATGTTGCATCAGATATCCTGGAACACTTGAAGCTGATTACAAAATACCTATTAGACAGAGACTATGTCAAGGTAGGCTGAAATATGGAATATAATATTTAATACAAACTAGGTTAAACTTCAGGAAATATTACTTAATTGGTTTTTATTTGAACACCAACACAGATAAGCTTTTATTCTAGAAAAAAATATTATATTTATACTTCCATTCTTATCAAATTGCTCGCCACATACGGGACAGAATAAAATACGATACATATCAAGTTTCAAAATTTAACCGACAGAGTGGTATTGTTTTTCAGGAGTGCTAAATATTGCTGGTGTTTTGACCCAAGCAGTGGTAGCTCCGACATGTCTGACAGAGAGATCTGAACCAAGGGGCCGACTAGAGCCTCAGTCGGGGTCCCGGAATAAAAAAAATCCCGGGTAGAGAGTTTTTATGGCTTAGGTTTGTCCAAATTGTGCTTTTAGACCAAAATATTAGGGATTGGCAGACAGGGGTGCCCAGTCCTGTCCGATGGGGGGATAATTCACACTTCCCCCGCTGAGGTGAATTGTGGTCCAAAAAAAAAAAGGATTTTATAACAATAATAATTAAATAATAATTATTGATCTCATTATTAGGCAAATGACGCATATCTTCAAATGGCAATAGGCAACGCTCCTTGGCCAATCGGCGTAACCATGGTGGGAATCCACGCACGTACAGGAAGAGAGAAGATTTACGCTCAGCATGTTGCTCGTATCCTTTTGATGTTCATTCTCATGCAAATAAAAATGTGAATTATTTTTCTTTCCAGGGCCTAATTGCTTATTAATTATACAGTGTAAATATTTTGTATTATTTTTTTAGTTTCAACTCCATTCTCCTTTATTGTTGTTCCTTAACTTGCACTTACTAAAGATGTGTTAAATGATGAAACTCAGAGAAAATACATCCAGGTAATAATCTTATAATAATAATAATATTATGTAATAATATTATTAATAATAACAATGATAATATATATAGGTTTTTAATATAGCGCCCTATAATTATCTCTGAGATCACTATTACACACAAAATGTATTTAATAGTGTAATAGTGATCTGAGAGATCACTATTAGATTACACTACACACAAAATGTATTTAATAGTGTAATAGTGATCTGAGAGATCACTATTAGATTACACACAAAATGTATTTAATAGTGTAATAGTGATCTGAGAGATCACTATTAGATTACACACAAAATGTATTTTGTGTGTAATAGTGATCTGAGAGATAATTATAGGGTGATATATATTACTATTACACACAAAATGTAATTAATAAGACAAATTATTGAATGATATCGTCACTCACATCACAATCAAAGTAGATTGTGTTAGTTCGTGAAATCAAGAAAGCGCGTCAAAATACGCACTGTTGTTGTTAAGGACTTTTTGTGTGGTAAAGAATACAAAATTGCTTGACAACCAATACGCGCTCGTTTTGACGCACTACTGTGATTTCACGAACTAACACAATCAAAGTAGATTGTGTTAGTTCGTGAACGACGATATTATAAAGATCAAGTGTAAAGGTAGGGTAATAACTCAATGCGTCATTGCGCTGAAGTGCATGGTCCGAGACTTCTGTAGCATGAACCAAATATTAGGGTAACCGCCCCGTACACTTCCGAAAGGTGCAATGTTTTTTTTAAAAGTGCAAACAAGCCTAATGCATACACTGGACAACCTTTACTTTAAGTCCTTATCCGAGAATTGGTTCTTCCAACCCAACCCTGGATAAAGAGTGGTTTAAACCAGTGCCAATGATAACACTGTACTTGGCGGCACCTATGCTATACAGCTCGACTTGCCCTATATATTTTAGGAAATGTACAGTATGTATATCATGATCTTATTATATCAGTAACCCTAAACTTGTCTATCGTTTCTTTTTTCTCCTAGGGTTTGAAGAGGTTAATGACCCTTTGTCAGCGACAGTATCCTACAGACCCATCACGTTGCGTGGAGTATAACGCATAATCAATACTGTGTACTTTTTCTGGATGTACATGGACTAGTTATATAGACATTACGTGGAACTATATGTGAAATTATGAAACATGTTGAAGATAATTTCTCTGAATATAATTGTCATGCTAATAGATTTTTATTGTATACACCGACTGTAAGTTAGTGCCAAACCTTGCAAGAACAGCAAAAAGCCAGTAAAGAACAATGCATGCACTGCCTCCAAAGTTGGCCTAGATCAATGCATGAACAGAAACCGAAAAAGAAGGGATGAAGGAACAATGGCATAACTACAGGGGGTGTACGTCAAAAAGGTTGCTCAAACTTGCAGGTACAGTATAATAACAGCTGTGTAATTTCACACAACCTGGACAAGATAAATATGAATGGGTCACTTTTATTGCATTTTACAATAATCTGAGTAGTCTAGGGTCTACAAGGACAATGAGCCAAAGGTCCTAATCAAAAAATCATTGTCCTGGACAATGTGTAGGTATTTCTGGGTCTTGGAGTAATGATACATTTCTGTAGTATCTTATTTTCCGTAATATGTCCATAATTAGGCATAATTTCAGTAGAAATTATGGAAGTTCCATAGAACCCATGGGATAAAGGAGCAGCTAGGGTGTGCTGTTTTGGTAGTGTAAAGAGCAATGTCTTCAAAGATGTACAGAAATATAAATAATGTAATAAACATTGGTTTATATACTTAGAAAAAATATCTCAAATTGTTTTTTTTTTCATTTAAAAAAAAGGTCATCATAGTTAATATACAGTATGCAATTATAGCAAAGTTCTGAGAACATGATATAAAAATAGTAGCTGAATGAGCCATTATTTCCTGAAGCCTGAAAATTGATCTGCGCATGCACGACCCCCGCAGCTTCTCGTTCTTGGCAAAATCACAAACTGTTTTTGGCCAATTTATCATCCGTGGAGAATCACGAACGACTAGCTCAAGCAGCCAATCAGCACCCTTTAGGATACCTAAAAAAGAGGGCGCGTGTCAGGTTAACGTCACTGACTACCGTTCATTCTTCAATTGCAAAACTGCGAATGATAAGACCGCAGACGAGTATCAAAGACGGTCACAGTTCATTGCTTTTAGTCCTACAGTACGTCCGTGCCGCATTTGCGAAAGCTCACTACTGATTTGCTAGTACATGTAGACACAAAAAACACAACTAGATGAGAACACATGCATTTTATACACATTTTATTTTATTGAACTATGGTGTCAAAACTGTCTGTAGTAGCATGTCACCACTCGTCTATTCATTGCTGTATCTATAGCTCTATCCAAATTATCAAATTTGATTTGACAATAACATGTGACATAACTAAATATAGTAATGATCACATCATGAGTATATATTTATGGGCATACAACAGTATTTTATGAAAGAAAATTTGATGACCTGGACAAAACCCCCCAAAAAAAATAAACAAAAAGGACACAAATTTGCATATCAGAAGTCGTCAGCAAATTCAACAACCAATAATTCTGACTATTAAAAAATAATATCTACGCATATAATTAATTACAGAATATATAAATATAGTTTCCTATCATTTGTAGCAATTTTTTTTTTTGCAGGCCATGAAAAGTGGGGGAAGTATTCACTTAACATGACTGCTTATCAATTAAATATCAATTTATATACTTCATAATTAGTAAAAATACAAATATCTGAAAAGTTATCAAATTTTCATGAAATTATTGATCATATTTACTGTATATTTTTCTATTCTATATTAGATTTTAAATTAAAGATGAATACAGTTTGTATAAAAATAAATATTGACATAAATACTATACAAAGAAGTGATACAAAAGTTAGGCTGAAGGTTGGTACAAATGCAGTCAACTTTGATTGGGACGAGACGAGTCAGACCAGGACAATTTGACTTATATTTGGACAAGTTGGCTAAGATTAGGACAATTCACCATTAGTAATTTCAGATTATAACATCAATTATTCATCCCATTCAATTTTTTTGTTAATTTTTTCAATTAAAGTTTATATTTATATATATATATTAACTGAAAGTTATTTTCAGTATATCTTAATTCTACATTTCAATCAACATAAAAATTATATCTCCTGCCCACAACATAATTATTACTGTACATTCATATGTAATTAACCAGGTGTTATAAAGCCCTCCTACCATTTTATAATACTGTACACCAAAGAGTATCATCATCTAATGAATACTACCACACTGTTAATCTTTATAACCCTGTTACGTATAGTTTATGATGGTTATAATAAGATATCCAGTTTTTTTGTCTGTCAGACTTAATAATGTATGAAGAGACATGTCTGACAGACAAAAAAATTTGAAAGTGTATAATTGTTTTAAATATACTTATTGTTTCTGAATTTAATTAGCACCTCATGCAGACTATTTTGAAGGCCATTTTCTTCAAATCACTTAATTCAGAATGTTTAAATTTTTAATACTGATATAGAAAAGGCAAGATACTCTTATATTAAATGTTGGAAAAAAAAATTGAAGATCATGTTTGAAAATCACTGGCAGGTCAAAAAATTCTGCTAAACCTGACTAGTGTACCTGAAAGAACTTTTTCATCATTTTACTTTTCTGCATTTACTTTCAATGATTACATTATTCTTTATACCTTTTATGTACACTTGCATTTACTTGAATCCATGATGTCTGTGTTGTGGTCATAAATTTATAATCAGGTTTCAGATATTGTTAAAGGTGAGGACGAGAAGGATAAAAGTAAAGCTAATGAGGATGAAGATGGCAGTGATGATACAGTAATGATAAGGATGATCGTAATTATCATCGTAAGAATGAATGAGCATGAAGAGGATAACAATAATAATGATGGAGAATAAAGACAATAGGGGGTTTTTGCAAGCTTACAAAAACGGCAACAAATGTGTTTACGTCATCAAATGTTTAGACAACAGTTTTCTCCCGAAGCTGTTTTCTAGCTATCAATTTTACCGGTAAAAATAACCAGTAAACCGGTAAAAATTGCGTGTTTGTAAAATTTAAAAAAAAAACCCAACTGTTTACTGTTAGGCCTGGGTAGTCTAGGCTGGCTTGCTTTCAATAAAATGAACATCATTCCAGTCTATGACCATGCAATGAGTTTATGTGTTGTGTTGTCATTAAACCAAACTCAAATGGGGTAAAACAGCTCACACTGCATGCATATCTGATTTTTTATGGACAAACTTATCAGTAAAAATGTTTCAATTGGGAGAACACTTGACAACCCTTCCCATACAGTAGCATTATGGCTGTCACAACGTACACGATTCATGCCTTTTTACATGAATCAAGAATGATATTCAGCTCGTACAGTATATTGTCAAGACTGTTTCAGGCACGAATGACGATAATGATAATGACGTATTCCTATTTGTTATTCCTTGGTTGCGATACCTCCCTATTTATGATCACCATTTTAGAATAATGTAGCAGTAGTTGGATAATAAAATGTATATAAATAATGAAGGCAAGATGTATTTGCAGGAAAATCATAAAGAATGGAATTAGTTTTGAAACAAACATATGAATATTGTAGATAAGGAGAAAAATTGAAATGATGCAATTTGGAAAAAAATAATCATACAGTATATACAAAGGACATCATGACGTGCCAATTTATGCATAATTATTTAATAAGAAATATGTGTAACATTATTCTTAAATAACCTTATAAATGAAAGACATTCCTTAATAGTGAAATATACAAGGAATGTTAATTGATGAAAGGTATATTTTAGAGAGTTTGCAGAGAACTGATTTTACTGACATCAGTTCCCAGGGACGAGTCTTTCAATTCCTTTTCGGCACCGTTGGCTGGTTGCGCATTCGGATTACGGCTAAGCAGCATTTCAAGTGTATTTCCCGAGTCGGCAATAAGTGGGACTACCATGCAGCAATCAAAGTCACGTGTACGTGTGCCGTTTATCTGTAAAAATAAAAACAAATTACTATATAACAATTTAAAAGAATATAATATCTATTATATCTAACAATCCACAGACCAATTAAAATCCCTGGTTTTACAAAGGACACTTAAGCATGACGTACCTGCAAAACTCTATCATATGTTTTTATGTTGCCGTTACGAGAAGCAGGACCACCCGGTCTCACCATATTAACGTAAACACCGTTCTCATAAACACCGTCAGAAACACTGAACCCAAAGTCCTCAACATCGGTATCTTTATACAGAATAACTTTGTGTAGTTCGGCCGGTGTCGTTTTGTGCATTGTTTGAAGCTGGTCATGAATACTGAAAGACGTGCTGCGATTTGAGGAGGGCAGTGTGCTGCTACGCGATGGACCAAACCCATTTTCATTTCCGTTTCTGTAACGTCCATTAGTTTCGCAGTCTTGACTATAATTGACCATGCTCAGTGAAGCTGTGATTTCGTTCATAAGATCCGAGGTCTGTTTGGAATGTTCAAAGTGTCTTCTATGACCACGACGGTAATAGGTATCATCCTGATCCGAAAGCATTCCATCATGACTGTCGTATCCCCGAAGTCTTGAATCCTCCCAATCATCATCACTTATCGGTGAACGGTAGTACTGATTCTGTTGATTCGACCGGTTTCTAGATGTAGATCGAGTGCGCCGTTGGTTTTGTCGGTTCCTCGATGAATTTTTCCCACGTCGTGAACGCCTTGTAGCTGGCGACATTGATTGATAGTTACGAACCCTCTTGTTGCTATGATATCCAGTATCAACGCCATTCCATAGCTCCAAAGCGCTCGCTGTTACTGCTGGCGTGATGTCTTGGCTGGAGTGGTCTATTCCATTCTTTAAATCACCAATCTTTCAAAAAACATAATACAATTATTATTTTAATGACTCTTTATCATATTTGTTTTCTTTTTGACTAACATATTATTTAAAATAATTAGAGTTCACAATTAAATTTACCTCGGACCCATTCACTAACGATCCATCAATCGCACTGTTCCCTGATCGGCTTATTTTTAAATGAACTCTGTCTCCGGATGTCTTTAACAGGTGAATGGCATTGGTAAGTGTCTGACCGCGTAATGTAATACCATTGATTGCGAGAATGCGATCACCCACATGAATTGCACCAGTTCTATATAAAAAAAAATTAATATTAAAAATATCTATTAAAAAAACCAAAAAAAATATGGGGGGGGGGGGAAATGAAGGGAAGGGTGCACACATACCTTAAGTTGCCAAAAATGAGATGTTTAGAAGCAAAAAAAAAAAAAAATGCAAGGTAATAAAAAATCACTTGATACCACCTTATTTTGCCAGCTAGTACCCCTTACTGTATCATTGAGGCCTCCCACTACACCTTCACACCCCATCAGGCCCCTCTTTCAATACACCTAGACACACCACTGATCCTTTACAAATTCCATATGACCAACTGACTGGTTTAATAGTATTTTTTATGTTTTTCAGATCTTATACCCACAGATAATATTATACTCAATAGATATAATATACTCTATTCATATCTATAATACATTGTTAATGATTACATTTAGCCTAAGCGTACCTTCCAGCTAGGCCACCTTCTGTTAGCCCTGAGATGATGATGGGGTCGAAGGGTTCCTCTGTGCCTGAGATGGTGATTCCTAGAGGTCCACCATGACGAATAAGTTCAACTGAATAGGTCACAGCCCCACTTACATCCGGCTCATCTGAAGGAAACATTATAAATAAGGTCATCTCCTGCAGGCATATACTCACACATACATAACTCACTCTCATTTATTTTTATTACCAAAAATCTATTGAAACAATGTTGTCAAAGCCCCCAAATACTATGAAAATTTAAGGGTTTCAAAGGCTTATTTCAATGGATTTTAGCGTTTACATCGTAAAAAATACATATATTTTATTCTCCCCGTTTTTTTCTCCCTGACAGGGGTGGTGGGGGAGGGGAAGTTCTCTCTGATGGACCACTTCCCCCTTCCCGGTGTTAGCCCTGCATTGTGTTTCAAAAAAAATAATAATGTTGTATATGATACAATAACAATAACCTTTAATAGTAATATATGTAGTCAGCAGACTGAACGGTTAGCGGTATCCGGATACTGCTAACGGTTAGCGCTAACCGATCAGGCGTCCTCACGCAGGTGCTAACGGCTCTCTCGTGAGAACCAGGCTATAGTCTATACCCGTTAGATACATATAATAGAATAATATAATACGTTACCTGAGAAAGCCTCATCTTTTTTGAGCCTCAATCTAACAATTTCATCAGCTTCTCTTAAAATCTGTGCGGCATCTTCTACCGTACACTGATCCAGAAGGATTCCATCGATGGCAAGAAGCTTATCCCCTGGTTCAATGCTACCCACCCTGGAATAAAAAGACAAGATTTGTAGAAAGGTAAATCAGTTTTGCAGAAATTGATTCCATGATGAAGTTCCGACTAAAGAAAGACCTGTTTGAGTGACATTTCCCCAAGTAATTTTTATTTGTTCTGATCGGTTTTTTAAATATTTTTTTTTCTTTCTTGTATCTTTTATCTCTTGATCAGTCAAATATCTTAAACTTGACTTTGTGTAAATGGTTGAGTGGATAACATACCTATGGGCAACACTACCTTTCTTGATGTGTGAAATCAAAAGAGGATCACCACGCTTCCTGTTCTTTGGAGCTAGAAAAAAAAAAACACAATCAAATGTCATATTTTATTAGTTCTATAATCCTTAGTAAACAATACAGCATATAACAGGATATGTCATACTGCTAGTCAACTTACACAATATAACATCAACATATCTTTTCTATACCCCAGGTTACAAAATACTATTTGATGTGATCACCATAAGTCACATTAACATCCCTGTGTTTACCGGTTTATACAAATTATTTGTTAAAATACTGCCCTCTGTTGGCAAAAACATACCACTGACTGTGATACCAAGACCATAGTCTGTTTTAGGTAACTTGATATGAAAAGTGCCGCTGCTAGGAACTACCGATTCTGAAAAAAAAAAAAAAATGAAATCATTACAGCATTACTGTAACCACAGATCGATAACACTAAGGCATCCAAACAATTACACCTTGTCTCTACTGCAAAAATTGGAAACTATCTTTTCAATAAAAAGCTCTGTCTCTCTACTAAAAACAACAATAATTATTGAAGCTGTGTAGCTGCAGCCTTTGTTTAAATATCTAAAATAGTGACTAGGTTTGCTACTGAAAATCCCAGGCTATTTTACGTCTATTATATATATTTTGTTTTCCTATATAATTAGTTTTTTTTTTTTAAATAAATTATTGATTACTTATAAGTTTATGGTCAACATTCAATAAATAAAACCGAATCATTGCAAATTAGTCAATTTGCCATCATTAGTTTCAACCCCGGGTGAAGGGTCAACCAATTCCATTCCTCCACCTTATTGAAGCTAAAACCTGGATTTGATTAGTTTGATTCGGTGTGGACACCTAGGATAACCCACAGAAGTCTGAAGACATGGGCAGCCTACCTGCAATGTCAAATTCTATTTGTAAGAAGCATCGCTGGCCTGTCACCCTCAGCGTCTGATGGGCCTCTTCAAGTGTCAAATCCTCTGTGTAAGTACCATTAATTGCTAATATTCTGTCTCCTATATTCAACACACCTGACCTGGAGGTACAAAATATGAATACTGAAATACTGCGGCAAATTTAAGACAAACTATACAAATATGGATTTGTAAGTACTTAGGTAAGATTTAACAAAAAATATTACTACAATATGTCTTTAGGTTATTATGTACAGTATGTTATAGGTTAGTTAATTATAGTTTTAGTTAGTTTAATTTATATTTTTCATATAGCACCTATTCCTTTAGGTTAAAGCGCTTTATTTTCCCTGGTCATTGGGTCCATGCTTAAGTGTTACTGCTGTAATCAGCGCAGGAGCAGATAACCCCACTAGGTACCTATTTATACTCTTGGGTGGAGAGAAGCAAAGTATTTAAAGTGCCTTGATCAAGAACACAAGTGGAATGCACAGAGAGGGATTGAAACCCCGACCTCAAGGTTGGAAAACTAAACCGTTTCTGTTGCGCCAAATCACTTCCACTAAGTTTTTATGAGAATCTATGTATACTGGCGTATATATAAGTCAGTGTTTATGTGTTAACCATCCCATAAAATCAATATATATTTTTTATTAAGAAATATCAATGGTATAAGGTACTGTATCAACATTATTTTTGTCCATTATTCTGTGGCAATATTCTTGAAATTAGATTCTTACCGTTCAGCCACACCGCCTGGCTCTAGGAAAGAGACAACTGCTGGTATGCCCAGAATCTCCGACTCAAAGACACCGCCCTCTAGCAGCAATCCGTAGTGGCCATTTGCCGAATGCAAGGTAAGGTCAATAGTTTCTGTGTGGCAAACTTGTGTACCTGATATAAGGCCATTTGTAGATGAAGATAGTGATACTAGAAAGAAAAAATTAACAACTAGATTTTAGATAGACTGCATTATAAACGGGAACCGAAAAACGAAGGTTAACTTAACCCCCACCCTTTGTGCCCGTAATCTCAAAATCTTAGGGTGATGCTTTTAATGGTTATGATATGGTTTTACTCCTCAGTATGAGGGTGAATAACAACTTATATAAGAAACAAAGGTTGGAAAAGGAAAGATAAGGAATTATAAGAAAGAAAATAAAAGGAAAGATAAGGAATCTATGAAAGGTATAGGAAAGATAAGATCAGGAAACATACGAAAGGACAAGAAAAGTAAATATCAGGAACATTTAAAGAAAAAGGAAGAAAGACAATAAGCAAAATGGAAAGAAAAATACGAATAGGAAAGTAACAGGCCTTGAAATGATTCCAATTACCAAAGCATTGTAATAATAATATTTATTGATAATCATCAAACCAATCATTTGAACTTAATTAAACTAAACCCCAAAATATTTAATAATAATTTTTGGTACATTTGCACATTTGTTTTTAGTTTATTTTCTTCTCTGTTGTTGTTAAGCGCCTCGAGGATGTGACAACGTGAGGCGCTATATAAATACAGAATCATTATTTATTATTATTGTATAACTCAAACATACTCACTATTTGAAGTGTGCTTATTGGCCCGTCTTGTCAGCGTGTTTGATTTGTGCACTAGGCTAGCATTGGATGGTAAGGTGCTGTAGTTGGAAATGGCACTACAGCCTACAGGAGTTGTGGGTCTACTTGATGCCCTGGTTATTGTCTGCGAAACTGAAGTAAAAAAAAGCCACATTAACAACATGTTCACTGCAAACTATGAATATACTGATGACATGCGTCGTTACAAGGTGAGACAAAGAATCTAAAAAAGTACTATACAGTAGGGAACAGTTTGGTTTCCCAACTTTGAGATCGGGGGTTTTAATCCCTCGCCGTGCATTTTGCTTGTGTCCTTAAGCAAGACACTTTATCTGCATTGCTTCTCTCCACCCAGGAGTATAAATGGGTACCTGGTGGGTTTGCCTGCTCCTACGCTGATTACCAACACCAACACTTACTGCACTTTATAACCTCAATTACTGTTTTGCGGAATCTTTCACAGAAACAGTGAATAATATAATGTAATAAAAAAAACTTTTAAAACAAAGTAACAATTAACTATTCTACAAAGAAATACTATTTAATTAATCTTATTATCAAACAAAAAAAATGAACACTAATTGGTATTAACAGTAAAATTATTAAAAGTACCAAATTAAATAGAAAACCTGTCATAGATTATTCTTTTCTTACCACTTTGTACTTTTGTATGGGGGTAGCTAAGCTTGGGTGTAAACTGACTCACTGGCAAGATTTCTAGTTTAATCTGCTCCAAAGCGGATTGAAGCAGTTGCATCGCCTCGGCGACAGTCATACTATCAGTGCTACTGCCATCTATAGCTCTTATCTCATCACCTACATGAAGAGCACCGCATCTAAAAAGATAATTAAAGTATAAAGATTAGACATGTAAATTCTATATTAAAACAAATTATTTAATCCTAAAAACATCTCAGAACAGCCTAAAATGGCCAATAACTGCTTGGTTTTTCTAGGCTCACTAAGGCTTAGCCAGGACACCTCCACCAAAAATCTGAGTAGACACGAACCTATCGGCTATACTGGCCGGTTTGATGCTGTCAATCACAATACACGGCTTTGCTGCCCTCATTGTTGAACTTAATGCGACACCAAGGTGTGAGCCAGGTGTCTTAGCAACCTCTATCAGCAGTGGTCCATTTGCATTGGTTACAGCATCTGTAAAAAAAATAAATAAATAAAAAAGAGGGGTTCATGACGATAAATGAAATGGCACATAGGAGAGGGGTTCATGATAATAGAAGTAACAGTACAGAACATAAACTGCAAGTTTAATATTTCATACAGTCAAGGTTTTCATCTGTATGATAATATATTTGACAAGATCAAATTGCGAAGGTAATAAATATATGGATGCCAAAAGTCACGTAAAATGTAGGCCTATAGAATGAAGAAACCACTATTTCTTTTGCCATGCAACAATTATGACAATTAAATAAATGCCATCAAATTTTCCATCATTTTAAAGAGAAAACAAAACATACTGTTTTCTTTGAACCCTCCCTCCATCCCTTCCCCCACAAGGTACAGTAGTACATAATATTAACATGATGGTCTGTTATCATTTTGAGATCATCATAATTTTATTTATTTTCACTGAGGATTAATTTAACCTTCTCCCTTCTCGAATATTTTTTTTTTACTCATATGAAAATGATGAAAAAGACGAATGACACCACATAGCAAAGGTAAAAAAGAAAACAGATAGCACCAAAATCGGAATGCATCATCCTCAATTTAACAAAGCATAGCTACTGTACGTAAAGATTATTTTTTAAACTCATGTATAAAATGTGGAAAATAATAAAAAATAGAGTACTTTATTTCAGGTAGTTGATGAAAGCAAGGGAATATGGGTGTAGACAGAAAAACATGGATAGAGTGCATTGCACAAAGACACATAGATAACTGATTCGGACTCGAACCACTGATTTTAACTGAAAGATACATGCATAAAATATTGCCTTAGGCTCTGCTACGCTATCAAATGTTATTTGTTAAAAAACTGTTGTATGCCAATATGCAGTCATGATGTGCCTATACATGTACATGATGTGATATCATCATGACCTTTAGGCATTTCACATGTTTTTTGTCAAATAAAATTCATGCATCAGACATAGATTATCACTTTACCTCATGTAATCCTTTCTGTTTGCATCAGGAGTAAAATTTATTTTGTAGAAATTATTGCATTGTAAAATCAAAGATAAATTACACTTTTTAGACAAACATTCCTTTCACTATATGGATAAGGATACCTGCATTACATTCAATTAAATCAATCGATCAATCATTGGGATAAGGCAATTCATAGATTGTACTGCGCATGCCCTTATCACGGTCAATCGACATGAAACAAACTATGTTTACATACACAAAACATAGGTTTATGTCAATTGACCTAGGATACGAGCATGTGCAGTTCATACTTTGAAATGGCTTTTGCACCCAAAGGATTTAAAAAATAATTTAAAGTACAGTATACCTTCTAGGAAATTTTAATATTTAATATATGTTGTATTGTAATATCTGTGATTTATATTTCTTAGTGTCTTGATTCTTTCATAACTTCTTTTTGTTAGGACTTGTGGCTCACTGAGTCATAGAGCTACAGGTCTTCCTCCAAGTAAAGACCACTTAAATTAAAACCACCTCCAATTAAAGACCACATTTCTACAGCCCTGGTTGAATGCCTATCTTTTATAATTAGCTATTCTCTCCATATAAGAATTCCCTTTATTTGAGACCAAAGACCATAGTTTTGGCAAACCCAACTGAACATACTCACTTACAATTTAAGACCTCTATAAAATACAGTGTTGTTAATGTAATTTTTTTTTATAATAAATTGTGTTATATATGACTTAACACATAGAAATATTATCCAATGCACTGTTTTGTGTACAGTGTTGTGTGTATATTGAATAATGATTAATGTTTGTGGCAATGATTATATATATATTAATATTTTAATGGAAAGACAAGCTGATGTCTGGTTTTTATGATACGTTTTATTAACCTTGTAGGAGGTTGGAGAGTCACTTGATAGTTGATTCAGTTTAACACTTTTTTTACAATCCCGCCTACCTGATAAAGTGTCTGTGCATTGTTTTGTTTTGTTTGTGAAATGACGAAATAAATGAAATGAAATTAATGAAATTAAGAATAAATAACTATTAAACAGCATTATTGCCCTCTAAATTGAGAAATCCAGAGACTACATTTAGTGACCAAGAGTCCTAAGTCTCCTGCAGAGTCCTGGAAAGTCTTCTGGAAATCAGCAGGAAGGACTCCTGCGAGCAAGCAAGTTTATCCCGGAATAAACCATCTCCCGCAAATTCATGATGATATTTGCAAGATTTTTTACTACTGCATTATCAATTGTCTCTCAGCAGTTGGTGCCAATTTTAATGATTATCACCATGCACAGGAAAATATATTTAGATGTCTTAAGAAAACTCATTTCAACAGATCTCCCGGATGTCGATTCTTCCAACCTGGGACCCCTGTTGAGAGCTGGTCTTAAATTATAGGGATTCTATCAGACACCAAAAACCATGGTTTTGGCAGACCAAACTGAAAATTTACTACTGACTTCTAAAATATAAAGTGGTTTTAATGTAGTATTTTTCACAGACTACATACATCAAAATAATATTAAAAGCCATTGTATTCAGTACTCCATAAAGAATACCAATCGTGTTTAGTAGAATGTTGAGGTTTGTATTTTTCTAATTAAATGTATATTTGGGTAAGACGAGAGCAGGTCTTGATGTATGGCTGCCAAGAAATGGTTTATGATGAATTAGTAACAGCACACAGTAATTCATTCTAAAACACTTGGAAGAAAACATTCAAATATACTGTATTGTATAATATATGGTTTTGGAAGACCCAACCAAAAATCTTTCCTTCAATAAATACATTAATTATTTTAAGGCATTTAAAAATATATATATATATGATTAATACGATGACAGATCAAAATAATACATAGCTGCCCCTATTTCCTAGCCAACTCACCCATGACGGACACATCATACTCCAGCACAAAAACAGCCTCTTGTCCTGCTTGCTTGATGACTTGCAAGGCATCTTGATGGCTGTAGCTGCTTAGCAATATACCATCTACACTTATAACATGGTCTCCAATCTTCATAGTACCATCCCTACAATCAAATCATAACATGTTTCGAAAAATATTATTAATAATATCTATAATGTGTATACAGCAACTGACATCACCATCACTATAAAATAATAATTTGCACACATTTATAAAGTACTAAATCTGAAAAGCATAATATTTACATACATTATCTCTTTCTTCCACATCATTTAATACAATCAAAAAAGGCCATCTAGTACTTTAAGAGCGCATGTCTATATTGTCATAGGCATACAACTAAAATATCATACAGCATTACATTATTGATTGGAAAGACCAAAGTAGCTCATGGCTTGTATCTTGACCTTTGATATAGTCATGTGCACTTGAAACCATTAGACTTTATTACATGCTTACCTATCAGCTGGTCCGCCAGTGCGTATCTGGCTGACTGTGATTGGATGCGTCTTTGAAGGGTTGCTATGGACACCACCTCTGACTGTGAATCCAAAACTGGTACCTTCTTTTGGAAGACAAACTTCAATCATTTTAGTTAACACCTGGATTCCATTTTCCTCAGCTGAATAAAAATGAAATGTAATTATACAATTATAGAAAATTTTCCAATTTTATTTTTATCTAACCAATGAAGACTGGCTGGCAGTTTAAGTGTCCATTCCACAAACATCATCTTCAGCGTGATGACAATAAGTGGCGTTCAAATAACTACGCAGTCATCCTCTATTAAGTTTAATTTCTAATCAATGGTCTTATTATCAACACTCGATCTTGGTCATTCTTGTGTCAAATCGACAACCAACGTTAAACTTACGCATCATTGGTAGTTCATATTCTATCTCCAAGGTGACAATGTCGCCTGCATTTTTCAAAAGGTTAATGACCTCATCATGACGTAGCCCTGCCGTCTTGATAGCGTTCACGGCCCTAATGAGATCGCCTACTTGTAAAAGATCGCTTCGTTGGGCAACGGCACCCACACGCATCTTGGACACACGTGGAGATCCATCCTTATCGACACCACCTATCAATAGAGAATGCAAATTAATCAAAACTTAATTCGATTCTTGTCCATTTGAAAAAAAAAATTGCCAATGAAATGATTGATGTTTTAAGTACACGATTTAGTCCTTTTAAGAGCATTATAGCTATTATGAAGCACCTCTTTACAGCTGCTAGGTAGTCACGGACCACACCCTTATATGCAATTCAGCACAATGATGCTGCAAGTTATAGAATATTCTCCTAACTTTACCTTACCTTTACCTAGTCTAGTAGGTCATAATAATCTATAAAATATATACTAATTGTTAATATTTTTTTTATTTGAATATTTTTTCCATTTTATTTATTTATAAAAAAACAATACCTCATAGAGCAAAGGGAAGAATTACACGATATTCTATAAAACACATTTTTTTCTGATGGATTATTTCTAATAAATATTTATCATTTTAAATCATACATTAATACAGTAGTGGGTTTCACAAATGTAACTTGATAAATTTCAAAATTTTTTATAGGTTTACCTGAGATGGTGAGTCCGAACCCACTACCTGATTTCTTCTCAAGTCTCACTTGTGTTGTTGCTTTTCTTTCATCTTGGAAAAAATATAATTAATACATTTTTAATAAAGAAAACAATTTAATATACTGTACATAGTTTTATGACTGATTGTATTCGACAATATTTTTCTTGTTTGCAAACCAACATTTATCAAATCTACCACAGGGCTTTCACTATACATATTTAGGAAAAAACAAACGTAACAACAATAATATATAAAACTGATTAACAGCATGTTTCCTGTAAACTGCATCATAATATAACTGGAAATGAACAAATGAAATAAAAAGAGGAAAGCCATTAGATGAGAGGAAATGGTATAACCAGTCTGTTTCCCTAAATGGGCAGCTCATAGGCATTAACTCATAGAAGCAATATGATCTAATGGTATCTGGCTAACTACATATGGTAAGATGACACTTTGACATCCCAATAATCGGACCAAACATAGTTTTGGGGGGGGGGGGGAGTTGCACGAAATGGCCTAGGGTGAGAAAATTGAGAATGCGGAACTACGGTATTTCTCTATTTCAATAAAGACTTATTAATTGGTTGTTTTTAGTATCCCACAGTGGAATAATTTGCATCTCCCCTCCCCACCCCAACCAGAGCTTACATCCATGACATTGACTTAAAAAAGGAATAGATATAATCATTGTTTTATTAACTTTTTTACTGACCTGCAATGCTACTGGTTCTGCTCCTTGAACCCTCACTGCATTCTTGAACAGTTGCTCCATTCTTCTTGTTATCTTTTTCTGGGGTGGGGGAGAGAGGGGGAAAAAAATAATATACTATTTTTATTTTTATTTTTTATTTTTAAGTAGAATCTAAATATGCCTACTTATATAAACCTTGAAAGATTTGATACAAAATCCACTAAAAATTTGAGGAGTTGAGCTTACTCAAGCAATACACCGAAAAATAAATTTTGGATAAAAACATGAAAATCACATTAGTTACGGCTAGTTTTAAACATGTAAAATTGCAATTGTTGGCGGCGTTGGTGACAATCATTTTGCATCGTTTTAGCAAATACCCACAAACAGCCCCACACCTCAACACAAGCAGCCCTGCACCCCAACACAAGCAGCCCCGTATCCCACCACTGAATTGTTGACTAGTAAATTTTGCCAAATTTAGAAATCTTGATTGCTTTGATAAATCTCTTTCCACACTTTAATTTTTTTTTGTCATATAAAATTTGATAGTCTGGACAGACTATCAAATTTTATGTGATAAAAACATATGACATGCCTAAATATGGTCATGACATGACTAAGTATGGTCATGATGACATCAAATCATGACCATATATAGGCATATCATGGCTATATACGGGCATATACCAGTCTTTTTTTGTCAAAAGAAAATTTGATAGTGTGGATAGAGCTAAGTGGTCGTCGGTTTTTTTCATATTGTGTAGATTTTCACACTTAAATTGGTCTTTTACATTCAACATGTATTAGTGAATACGTCCAAGGCTAAGTGTAAAAAAAAAGTAGTTTCTCATCCTAATATTTTGAAAAAAAGGGGAATGATGGTAAAACTCCAAGATGGTCGATGAGAAACAGAGCCTACTACTTTCTCACTTTTACCAAGTAGACATATTGAAAGCAAATAAAAGAAGCACTAGACATGATTCATACCATATGCACCCCACACCACGAACAACCGAGAGAGGAATTTTATTGATGCGAGTTAGCTAGATATTTGTACATTTCGTATGAAGGAAATAAAAAGAATAAATAATTGGTAAGACAAAGAAAATGGATGCGCGAGATGAGAAACTAGTAATTCTTTTTATTTGGCCTACAGTAAGACAGTTTTATATCAATTTCATTTTATTTTTCAACTGAGCTGAGTACATCAAATTCACACACCACCGGGAATCATCATACTCCTGTTTCATGTTATCAATAACAGGAAATAATACTGTAGGTTCGTAGGATGTTTAATATGACTTCCATCTTTATGACCGGAGGAAATTCAAAGCACATTTCATCATGATGCACAAACCAGCCTTAAGCTATAGTACATTTACACTATAACTACAAGACAACCGCAGACCAAATTATCAAAATTTTCTTTGAAAAAAAAAATCTGTTGTATGCCCATATAATTTGTTTGTTTGTTTGTTTGTTTGTTTATTCGGTACTCAAAAATTCACAAAGAACAATGATAAAGTACCAGGATAACCCATAAAGCTGAAAAACAGCTTAATTCCAATGGGGTCCCATAAACAATCAAGTAAATTCATTAAAAAAAAACAAAAAAAAACAAACAAATCATGGTTTATGCACATTTCCAAGGTGAATCTTTACCGCACGTTTAAATTTGTTTAGTTTGTTAATACACTTAATGTTTGATGGTAGACCATTCCAGTCTTTGATAGCATTGTAATAAAACGTTTTCGAAGCTAGGCCTTTAATATTTGGAATTACAAAATTGTCATTGGAAATTCTAGTTCTATAACAATGTTGTTGAGAAATCTTTATAAAATTATCAGCTAAATAAGGAGCATCCATATTATTGAAAATTTTAAAAGCATGAACTAGCCTAAGAAATTTAACCCTATCACTTATATTAAGATAGAAGAATTATAGTCATGATGTGTCTATATATGGTCATGATGTGATATCATCATGGCCATATTTAGGCACGTCACATGTTTTTTTCAAATAAAATTTGGTAGTCTAGGCAGGAGTTTAAAGTAGGCCTACATACCGTACCTCTGATTCAGTACACAAATATCCTTAAATGCCAATAGGTGTGTCTAAAATGAGGCTATACACTACATTGGAGCCAATCAGAGTATGGAAAACTCAGGATATTTTTATTATCAAGAAAAAAATGGATGTAAAGTAAAATAAAATAAGAACTGATTCAAGATTATGCTGGCATTGAACCAGCTAGATGAAATCTAGAAAAGGTTAAACAGAAAACGTTTAAGTGTTTTCTATATGGTGGGCGAGGCCTTGAGTAATTCTTAAAAGAAAAGAGAAACGAACAGCTACTCTGCAAGGGTTGATAGAGATGTGCTTGAACTCATTGAAATTATCCTTATTTCACATTATAATCAGATTGTCTATTATGTGTTGAAGAAAGAAAGTAAACTTTTCTCCTTGATCCAAAATTCTACAAGTCACAATGATTACATAGCAGAAGTAATGAAAATAGGCAGTTATAATAAATAAAGCTGGAAACCCTGTCCACTGAAATATAGGGCCTGTGTTTAGACGTTTACAAATCTGATTTCCGCTAAAATTTGGCATAAAATTTATGTCTAGTTCTAACTGTAGGTCACAATATACCACTAGTGTATAGCTGTACACAGTGATTATGATTCCGAGTACCTATTTTTCTTGTGGTTTTAATAACCCTGTTTCTGTTTATCAACTCTAATTCTGAGAACCCTCTAAATCTAAGATTCCTCTAATTCGGCTACCACTTCAAAGAACCAAATTAATTAAACAATCTTCAATCTTTTCACACAAAGTTAACCCTCTTTGGAGACAGAGGGACCACAAGACAACCTGAAATGTTCACGTCCAAAAGTGGTCTCGAAATGGTGGGTGAACTGTATTAGAAATATTCCTACATTACCTAGTTGAAATATCCTAGCCCGGTTGTTCATCTTCCTACTGACCTCCAGATGAAGTAGAAAAGCTTGTTGTTCAATGATTAAAATCTCGGGAGACTGATTATAAAGTCAACAATACAGGTGTATCAGTGATGTTTGTTAAGTTGACATACAATTGGGTGTCCTACACAGTAGGAGTTTATAGTTGATATAAAAAAGATAAACACTCACAACAACTAGATTTATATCCAAACAGGAGGATAGAAAATTTCAAGTTGACAACCATTGATTAATTACTATGACTCAGACTTTAATTATTAGAAATGGAATTAGAAGGAATTAATCATATGGTAGGCCTATATAATTTATTCATTTTTCTTAAACATCAGTAATACTAAATCATCACTGTTAACACAAATTCCACATTTAATTTAAATATAAATTTTACCATACTAGTTGGTTTTGAGAGTTTTCGTATTTTTATACTTTTTTGTTATTTGCTTCTTATTCACTGCTTTATT